CTAGTTTGATACTGCCTATATCTTGCATCACAAAGGCCTCAGGGTTATGTCACCATTGCATGTCAACTCTTTGACATTCAATGTCTTCAGTCAAGCCCTCTGCGTCTTTCTCTGCCCCCCGCTGAACGCTATTCCTATCTTCTTGCCCTATCTAAAATCCTGCTCTATCTCAAAGTATACTGCTTTTTTAGTCTTCTAGGTCAAGTGCTGTTTTCCTTCCCACATTCCCTCCTCCTACTAGACCTAGAAGTGCAACAGCTGTTGGAGTTTTTTCCTCAGTGCCACTTCTGGGTCCTTTTCCTGCCTGACTTTCATAAAATAACTCTCCTTTTAATCTTCTGTCATCAGATTATATCACCTGTTACTTTTCTTTGTTTTATCATTAAATTAATTCTGTGGTAACTTTAATCTGCTATTTGTTTCCATTTGTCCCACTATCTTTTCATTCAACTGGACACTTGTCTTAATTCCTGATGACTTTACCATATGGGTGATCATTTTCATATCTAACATTTAAAATCTTTGATCTCTTTTTCAGTTTGACTCCCACTGTAGTAGTTAATTTAAATATACACGCCTTCAAAACCTCAATTTCAAACTATTCACTATTTAACCCACTATTCAGGTACCTCTCACACCACTACTCCAACATTTTTTCCACTCCTCTAACCCTCTAAGACCAATAGTTAATCCAACTACCTTTTCATTGTCATAGGAATCCCCTATCCATGGCATTGCTTGAATTTTTTTTTATATTAGATTCTTCAAGATTCATGATGTATCAGCAAAATCATTCTCACGTTATTTCTCATTTCCTGTTACACCAATGTTCTTTTTGGCATCTCTGCTTATCTTAGAAAACAATTAAATAAATCTAACTCTCCAGTTAATCTACACTTACAAGTCTAAAATCAGAGATGTAGATAGATATGTCTGTGGGTAATCAGATGTGAGAATAAGGATATGGAAATGTCACATATGAGCATCCTACGACACTGATAACTGTTCTTCTGAGCTGGTGGGGTGGCTCAATGGTGGAGTCAGTGTGTTTGCCTATTACATGTGAAGCCTGGGCTTCAATTTCTAGCACTGAAAAAAAAAAAGCACTTCTCTTCTAACATATGATTTTCAGTGATCGGGAACTAAATAATTTCTTTATTTTTTTATGACTATGTATGGCATAACCTACCAATTTATGCAATGATTTTAAACATTAGGGCTTTCTTTTTACTGTTTTTTCCTCTATAAATTTATACTATATTTATGGTTATTTCCTTGGGATAGATTCCTAAAAATGTTATACATTTAAGGTAAGTATTATTAAATGAATTGTATGTATTAATCAGGGCTCTGTAAGGAAATAATCAGAGAGGGAGAGAGAGAAAATTTTTCACATTAAAATGGTAAAAAAAAAAATCTATCTTTACCTCTAAAGAAAATTGTGGAGAGTGACAAATCCAAAATCTGTAAGTGAAGCCAGGAGGCTAGGGACCCAAAAAAGAGTTCATACTGCAGTTTAAGTCCAAGGTAACCCTCAGGGGATGCAATTTGTTTTATTAAGGCCTTCAGTTGATTCGATGGGCATCCTCACATCATGAAGAACATTCTGCTTTACTTAACTGATTTAAATGTCAATCATATGTAAAAATACCTTCATAGAAACATCAAAAGATAGTGAGATTCCTTGTAGAGAAGATATTCAAGCCACGATGAGTGACTGAAGAACCCTCTCAATGAATTCCTAAGATTGTCCTAAAATATACCAAAAATGTGTAGCTATTCTTATAATGACCCTTCCAACAATTGCTTCTTGATAAATAACACCTAGAAAACCTAAGAAAAATGTAATGAATTTATAAAAATAATTGAAAAGGATGCTCAGTAGAGTGATTGGTTATATGAATATAAAATTATAATATTTTATATAGAAATAACAATATTTATAAGAACAATGTAAAATACCTAGGTACAAACATTATAATGAAATCTAGAGAAACTGTAAAATTCTAAAGAGCAATTTGAAAGTGAACAAGAATAAGTAGACCTTATATTCTTTAAAGATAGCATATGTTCTTGAGACTATAATGTTAAGTGAAGTAAATGTGACACACAAGCTTAAATATCATATTGTTTCTCTTATATGAGAAACCCAAAGGAAAAATTAAAGAGCAAAATAGAAGATAGATAACAGGAGGTAGGGTGATAGACCTTTCTGAAAGGGAAAGGGATAAAGAGATGGGGGAGGGATAAGGGACGAAAATAAAAGAATTGGGGTCTGTTATGTACACGTACCAGCTCCACACAAGGAGTGTAAACATAATGTACTGCAAACATGTACCAAAAAAAAGAAGAGGGTTGAGATGGGTGGACAGGGCAGGGAAAAAGGGAAAGGGGATGAAAAGAAGAATGAACATGTGTTATGTACTGCACAAACTTCTCACAAGGAATGTAAACATTATGTTTACTACACATACGTATTAGTAAACTAAAAAAATTAAACATTTATAGAACAAAAAGAGAATATGTAAAATGTCATTTTTCCCCAAAATGTCATATAATGTAACATATTGAGGGAGATGGGGATAAAACCTGAGAAAATTATTATTAGTTTTATTTGGAAGAATTAAAAATTAATATGAGACAATTTCTTTATTATATATTAAAACATACCAGGAAACTATTGTTATTATTATTTAGTTTATATATTTTTGCTGAGCTGAGGACTCAAAGCCATAGCCTTGTTCATGCAAGCACCCTGTCATTGAACTAGACCTCCAGCCCTTCCTGTTTTGTAAATGAGTACAAAATTGCATGGGAGAAATCACTGAAATAATACAAAGTTTCAGTAACAAACCCAAATAAATATAGAATTGTAATATGTATATATTCATACTTTAATAGCTGGAATGAATTCTGTTGTTTCATTGTATGAATGGGATTGCAGGCATGCACCATCACATCTCACCATGCAGCTTCAGTCTTTTTATACTTCTCCGAAGATTCAAGTTTCAGTTGGCTTAGCCTGTGCCACATGTCTACCCTTAGACTAAGAGTAGGCAGTGCCTTGATTACAATCCCACTGAACCATAGACAGAGAGAAAGTGATAATTTCTCTAGGGCTATCAGAGCATTGTTAGGAAAAGGAAAGGGATTTTGAGGATCCAACCCAACAAATGGCCATTTGTTTATTTATATTTCTATATTGATGATTCATGTCTCCTATTGCAAATCCTCTATTCATTTTCTTTGCCCATTTTTCTCCTGCATTGTTTATCTTTATTTTACTGATTTATAAGAGATGAGCAAATATATTTTAAAGCTGAACTCAGTAGAATTTTGCAGAAGCTTTCCAAAGATTTCTTCATTTTTTAAATTGACAAAAGCTAAACCCGCCCCCCCCCCCCAACTTGCAAGTTTTGGTTGGTTGGTGACCAATAATTGAAATATATTAAGGGCCAGGGACTTAGCTCAGTGGTTCCGGGCGCCTGCCTTGCAAGAGCAAGTTCCCGATCTCGATCCCTGGTACCAAAAAAAAAAAAAAAAAAAGAAGACCTAAAATATAGTAAAACCATACAGAGAAACCCAAAGTATAAGTAATTTGAAGAGTAAAAGAAAAGATAGAAAACAGGAAATAGGGAGATAGAGTTTTGGCAGATGGGAAGGGAACCAAGAGATGGGGGAGGGGAGGGAGAAGGGAGAAGGGAAAGTAAAGAGAATTAGGATGTATTATGTCCATGTACCAACTCCCCGAGATGCATGTTATCAGTATGTGCTGCAAACGTACTAATAAAAATCTAAAAAAATTTAAAAGACTGTACAGAACTGGCTATTTTTTCATCATTGTAGTAGTTATAACTGTGATATCAGCTGCTGTAACTTCTAAATCTCAGAATCTTAGTGGTTTAAGAGATGATTTTAAAACATGCCTCCCTCCAGGCTTTAACATTCTTCCCACTGAAGAGTGACATCTATGCCTCATCACTGACTCAAGATGGCTTGATCAATAAATTATGGTGGAAGTGAAATTGTGTCCATTTCTGGACCCAAACTTCAGAAAAGGATCAGCTTCTTTCTGTCTCTTGTGATATTTTTCCTTGAACTCAGCCACTGGGCTGTGAGGAAGGCAAGCAGCCCATGATGAGGCTGGAATGGGAGGATCTGGGTCCTCCAGCCCTCAGTCCTGCTGAGCTCCTGGCTGCTACCCAGCACTTCCTTGCCAGCCATGTGAATGTTGATCTTGAAAAGAGGCCCTCATTTTTAAAATCCATTCATCTGTTGAGGAGCATATAAGCTGCTTTCATAATTTAGCTGTTATGAGTTGTGCTGCTATAAACATGGGTGTCATGTCATATACATTAAATTACTACTGTAATAGGTATAATTTATACACAATGGAATACTGTTTAGCCATAAAAAGGACAAACTGAGTCATTTGGAGGAAAATGGATGTATCTTGAGACCATATTTCATGCTAAGTGAAATATGTCAGTTACAGAAGATTAAATATCACATGGCTTCTATAATATGACAGACCCAAAATATAAATTATTTAAAGAGTAATATTAAGAAACAAGGGCATAGACTCTAGAGATGGGAAGGGAATCTGGGGAAGGAGTGAGAGAGAAAGGTAAGGGGCAGAGACAAAAATGACTAATATTTGGTGAGTACATGTATCAGTTGCCCAAACTGAATGTAGTCATGATGTATCCCAAACATATACCAATGAAACCATTTTTTAAAAAGAAATTAGATCCTGCAACCTCTAGTATCTGTGCCCTAGGTGATGAAAGAAGGAGGAGAGGACAACTGTCCCTGCACAGCCCTGCCCAGATTAAAGTTTGATGAGTAAACTAAATGATTCTTACTTTATGCCTCTGAGTTTTGGGGTGGTTTGTCACATAGCAATAGATAACAGAGAGTAACTTATTAGAAATGTATTTCTCTTTTGTAGTCCAGTACTGATGTGGGTAGCAAGCAAGTTTCTGTGTTTTAACTTACAGGCATTAAGAAGATGCGTGCTTCCTGTATTCTGCTGCTGCCCTTCCCCCGGTATGCAGTTACTCTATGGGGAGAAAGTGAGTTAGGAAACAAATAGAAAAGTAAAATTTGTTTCTTAAGCTCTTGAGTCTGGAAATAAAACCTCACCTTCAGTTGTATCTTTTTTGGCCCAGAACAGCCACTTGGTCACTCACAGATGGAAAGGAGTCTGGGAGCTCTAGTTTCTGTATCCCCAGTAACTCTACTTCACACTAAGGGAGTCAGAGCACAGATCTTTGGTGGAGCAGCCAGCTGTTGGACACACTCATCTGCCAAAGAATCTTATTCTCTCATGGATACCAAAGAAATAAGAGAACCAATCATTTCTGTTGGAAGAACAGAACACCTTGCATATTACCTCCTCAAGTAGCTTATTTCTTGACAAAGTATGTGGAAATAGAAGCCCAGTTGTAATTCATTTTTTTTGAAATATACTTAGTTGGGGCACCACATGATGCTTTGCTGTATGTATCATTGCATAATGTCTCAATAAGGTTAAACAAATCTAACTCCTCAAATATCTGTCATTTTTTTGTAGCAAAAACATTCAATGTCCTTTCTTCTAGCATTTAGAGATATGAAATATATAATGATTATTTAGTTACCCCATTGTGCAATAAATGCCACACAAGAACCCATAATTTTAAGGTATTTATGATCAGTTAAAAATTTTTAAAAATGTATAATAAAATATGTAGCAGATTTTGAAAACTTAGTCTCAATATATGAATGCAAAATATTTTAATTTATGTTATTTCATGTTGAAATAATATTTTGGATATAATGGTTTAAATAAAACATCAGCAAAAATTTAAAAATACATAGCTAAATCTATGTTTTTCTGCAGTATAAATTTGATTATGGGAAATGAAGTAATTTCCCAATAATCAATCATAGGTAACTTACAAGGAGATTTCCTGGGGGGAGGGGACAGGTTTGGGTTGTTTATTTCAAAGTACACAAAAGCGAGCAAAAAGGAGAGATCAGGGTACATAGTTTGATCCTTGGGTCTGTCACCAACCGACAGGTGAGCTTGTATCTCCATTACTGTAGATGGAAAAGAGGAAGTTGGCTAGATAATTTGGAAGTTTTAAAATTTATCATCTATCAGTCTGAACACAAATATAGAACAAGTTTCAGTCTTGGAAAAAACAGAAATGATGCATGATAATTACTTCCAAGCTTGAATTAACATGCTCCTATATGACTAATCTCAAAGCCTAAATTTTGAGTGGGAACTACAGAATCCTCCACTTTTTCCATAGTATTACCTTTGTGACAACAGCAACAGAAACTATCCAGAACCTTAGTAACAAGAAGTGTAGACACAATCTTAGAATTCTTTTTTAGAAATGGGACTTGTTCCTAGATTATTACTATTACTCTCAACATAGAATTCATGTGAGTCCACAATTTCAGCAGGAAACATGAGCCTCTATCATCTCCTCCACCCAGCTTGGATGAGTAGTGTGTGAGCAGGAGAGGAATTACACAAGCAAATTCTCCCTCTGTTCTCAAAACTGCAATTCAGAGAGAGTGCTCGGAGGCCCTGCTATAAACAAAGTGCTGACAGCTAAACCCCAAGCTTAAGTCGTAAGAAATAAAGCTTTACATCTTGGACACATTTAGTGAGAATTTTATTCTTTAGGAAAATGGGGATTTCATACATAGCCATAACTATGTTTTCCCTACACCCCTGGGACTACTGTACAGAAAATTTCTCCCCCCAGCCAGGAACTGCTCTCAGCAAATTGGAAGAACATGTATATAAATCCCTGTATGGAGTATGCATGTGTCTGTGCCTGTGTCTAGAAGTTTAATTCTCCACCATGGATCCAAGAGAGTAGAGTGTGACTAGTCACAATAAATCTGAACTTCTCCAAAGCTTTTAGAGAAAAAAGTGGGGGGAGAATTCTGTATCCAATGCTGACTAACAACAAAATCCAACACAAGAGACCATGGGATGGGAATAACATACAAAGAGGGATTGGCTTTGTGAGGCTTTTAAGGGGGAGAAATGCAAATTATTCCTTATAAAAGTTTTCCAGAAATAAATAGAAAACAAGAGATATTTACACAAAATTATTCAACAGCATTTCAGGCAGAAATAAGACTGGAATAACATCAGTCACTACTGCTGCTGTCATAATGTTCATTGAAGTTTTCAATTTATTAATTATCCTTCTTGATCTATTATTAGAGTATTAAAAGCTGCCAGAAACATGAGCTTGGTATTTACAATTTGTATCAAAAGACTCAGAACTTACACCAAAAGATACTAATTGTTCTTACTGGATGATGAGTCATATCCTTCTGCAAATCCTGATTTACTATTGTTTCTAACAATGAAAATTTGCTATTCCTGCAGATGCCTCAAATAGGGCTTTAGTTCAGGCAGCTGAAATAACATCATCTCTTGTGGCTGAACAACAGTTTAGAGTAGGGCTTCCTCTGTGGAGGGTTTCCACCTGACTCCATGCAACATTCAAAAGAAAATTTTAATAAAACTTATCTGAGCTCTTTTCACTATGTGCCTACCACAACAAGTTTCCTTCCAAATTCAATATTTCCCTCTTTGTGTCTCTTAAATAACTGCAGAGTTGGTGTGAACAGAGCGTGGGGTATGGATTTCTTATATAATTGATTGTGCTTCCTAAATCATGTGTGACAGTAGCTGTCCTAAGCCTCCTTAAATAATGCTTCACTCGCAGGTGGCAAGCTTTCAGATTGAAAGATCACACTTCATAGCCATTCTATAGTTAAGTCTGAATTCTGAAATGTCATTATTATTAATGTGAAACTATAGACTGGAAAATGTAATATCTTTCTCCCTGTATAAAAGTACAATCTGCCTTAGCTTAAGCTCATAAATAATTGGAAAGTGATAAGGAACCTCAAATCAAGGGTGCCCCACATGGGTCATTCTCAAAAATAGACCACATACTCATACATAGAACATGTTTAAGTAAGTGCAAAGGAATTGAAGTTACCTCCTGTATATTATCAGACCATAGTGTGATGAAATTGGAGATCCATAGCAAAAGAAACTCAAAAAATTTCATAAACATG